ACGAATAATTTTTCAAAAATTTTGCTGAGAGAAGAGAGAAGACAGATAGAACGGTACAAATCTAATAAAGTCGGTTCTCGATCCTTTTTGAGAAAGAGAATAACTTGACTTATTTTAAATGCCTGAGAAAAAGTGCCAGTTTTTAATAGTTTATATAAATATAGTTTAAAGAATTGTAGATTTGATTGTATTGAGGCTTTGAAAATATTATAGTCGATGCCGTCTGGCCCTGGAGCTTTTTTTCTTCGGGAGGTGACGAAGAATATTTTTAATTTCTGCTGTTGTAAATATTTGGTCTGCCGAAGTACGTATCTTGTAGATGCAAATCTGATTGCATGTTGTTCAGAAGTATCATCGATTGGGTTATCAGTTCCGAAAATGATGTTAAGAATTTGATGCAATAAATTATTTATATCACTTGGTTGATGGTCCGGTCCAGTTTGTAGGTGCAGTTGAGCTGGTTTATATAGGTGCTTAGTAGTTATTTTATGATGAATGCCATATATTTCATTATTTTCTGTGCAATATTTTCGCCATGATGTTATGTTTCATTGAACAATCATACGTTTGTATTTAGCTCTTTTGCGTTGATAAATTTTCAAGATTTGTGTATGTCTAGCAAGTAGTCGATTTTGTTTAAGTTTTTGCGGAGTGATCTACATTTGACTCGTTGGATACGTAAATCTTTATTCCACCAGTTAATGGCTTGTAAGTGTTTGGTATGACGTTGTGGAGGATGTGCTTTGTAAGTATCTTCATAAGTTTGTAAGAGGCTATTTGTAAAGTTATTAAGATAGTCTGTTGTTTCACATGATTGCAGCTGTACTATATTGGAGAGGTGTCCTCGTATACTCTCTGTAAATATTTGAATTTTCTCGATTGCAACTTATATCTTTTGATTATTACGGTAGATGAAGCTTGTGCGATTTGGAAGGTTATATATTTATGATCTGAAAGACTATATTCATCAGAGACTGTCCATTCTTGAATATATGGGGCTAAAGATTGATTCGATATTGTTAAGTCAGGCCATCCTATTGGAAAAATACGATCAAAAGAAGGAGGAGCGTCTGTGCTATTATGAATTATAAGATTTTTTGAGGAGATATAGTCTTTTAATTGGCGGCCTTTAGTGTCTGTTGTATTGTAACCCAAAATGATATTGTAGGCATTGAAATCACCGACAATAAGCTGATGAGTTGAAGTTTGAGAACGTAGAATGGAATCCAAAAAGTGTATATTTCCATCGAGTGAAGCAGTAGGTGGTGAGCAGATTGAAATTAGAGCAATTGAAAGCCCAGTTATTTCTAGGAAAACCGCAACATGATCTCTTTCAATCTTCAAGATTGACGGGGTCCAGTCAGAGTTACAGCTATGGCAACACATGCAGGTTGCTCTAAATCTGCTTTTTGAAAGATACTCCATTGCAATGGCAGACCAACTATTATTCCATCAATAGTAAACGGCTCCTGAAGAAATATGATATCAGCTTGATAATTGACAGCAAAAGACAGCAATGTGCAGTTGCAGCTTTAGCTTTTTGTAAGTTTATTTGCAGGCATTTTATTTTATTGCGGAAATTTGCTTGTATAATATTTGTAGTTATTGGATTCATATTATATATAATCAGAGGTACAGAAATATTCTATTTAATTTTGATATTGGGTTCTACTACGAATTTTATTACTTCTTGGTAAGATGGGCAATGCGGAGCATATGCAGGATGATCACAATAATAATGCGTACCAGAATATTTATTATTTATAGTGCAGTTTATACAAATTGGTTTATTGGCAGGACATTCAACTTCTCTGTGGTTTTCGCCACAGTAAGCGCAGTGACAGTGTTATGGGCAGCTATTCGTTCTATGGTCGAAAGCTTGAAAGTTGGCACATTGTATGGCACCTACAATGGAAATTGTATGGAATTTCCATTCCACATGGAATTCCATACAATGGCACATTGTATGGAATTTGGAGATATAGCAAGTATGCCAGCCATACTGGATTGTTTTCACTGAAATACATTTAGGAAAGGTAACAGGTGTACATTCGATAGTCCATTTAATTGTATTATTTCGATCTCGAAGTTTAAATAAAGATTTGAATTCTGATAGATTATGGTTTGTTACTCTTGAAAGAATATTTACAACGGCTTCTCCTGCTGCGTTTAATGGGAGTTAGTGAATGATACATTTTGATGTTCGCTTTTTAGGGATTTTAGTATGTGTGATAACGTATGCATGTTCAGATTGCTGGAGTAAGTTATTTAATTCTTCAACATCTTCTTTGGTCTTGCAATGTACGGCAATTCCTCCTTTTTTTTATGGGGACTATTTTCTTAACTTGAGTTTCCAATTTTTCAATCGGTAGTATGGTTTGAAGTTTATCAAGTAGTTTGGAGATGTGTCGTGCGTCGTTCGCATAGATTAGGAGTACAGGATCAATTTGCTTTGATTTTAATGCCTGGGCATATGTACGTCATTGTTGTACTTCTTCGTTATTCTGATTTGCAATAACGTTTGACCTATTTTCTTCTACATTCGAAAGTTGTTGTTGAGAACTTTGGATTGTGCACTGTTACGTTATTGGTGTAGAAATAGGGATTTGCTGTCTTACTTGTCTTACTTGTGGGGCAGATATCATGCAACTTGGTGAGTTGGAATTCTGGTGGAGTTGGAATTCTTGGCTATATATATGGGGTGAAGTAAGATTATCTCCTCCGTAACGGCTGGCTCCCGGGCTTAGCGAAGCACACCGTTAAATTCCGCAGGTCCGTGGCACGCCATTTTGACCATTCGCGTCTTCGTGGGACTTTAATTAGCCGAGATATTAATTAAAAACTAATTTTCCCCTACTTTTCCCTACATTTTCCACTTTCTTTTTTGGGTTTTCCCTATTAGAGGGATTTGGCTACGTGCAAAATTCTTTTTTCTCGAATATCTACGGAACGGCGCCGAGTTGAAATTCGAGACGCGTATCCTCGGGTTCCAAAAAATTCTGCTAACCGTTCCATCGATACCGTTCTCATCTTCGTACGAGTTCAATCAGCCGAGATATTAATTAAAAACTGCGGAAACGTTAATTTCCGCGCTCAATTTTCCGAGTGGCAACAATAAACTATCGGCGAGATACACTTTAGTCACTTATATATATAAAGATATTTTTGGTTTATTGCTTAAATTATTCTGAAGTATTAAATATACATATATGTGAAATGCTATTTTATAATCTCTAATTTCAAATCTGTATATGAAGTTGAAAAATATTAGATTTTTCAATAATATTCTTTATAAATTATAAAAGGCATTTCATATATTTATTAGTAAATATTTATTACGTATCATTAGTAAAAACTTGAATAAGGAAATTCCATCTGAATAATATTCAGTAAAAGTTTATTTGAAAAATTTTTTTTAAATAACTGGTGAAATTTATTGACAACAATTCATTGACGTAACAACGTGCGTAAACCAAATTTATCGTTATTATCGCTAAAAAAAATATGCCAAATTTTAAAACGTGCCAATAAATGTATAAATTCAGGTATAACTTCGGAAATTTTCAATAAAAACTATAATTTTTTTGTCAGGTATGCCTAAAAATACATCTGCTTTAGTATGATGATAAAAGTTTTATTGGTTATAATCAAAAGGTTTTCGAAAAATTCATAAAAATTATTTTAAAATGCAAATTTAAAGAAAATCAGAAACACAATGTGTGAATTTTAAACGGATTAAATTTAAATTTCGAATTACGAAATAAGACATCATGTAAGTTTAATTAAAAAAATATTATTAAATATGTCCCAATTTCCATTAACATTGAGGGATTAAAACTTTGAGTGCTAATTTAAAAGAAAACTTCTGTCCTAATTTTTAAAAAGTTTTTGTATAATTTGAGGCATAGAATTGAAATGCATGTCATTTCAGAAAAATTTGGACTTTTAAAATAAGAACAACTAAGCTATATATAATTCTAAAGTATATTCCAAGTTTCGCTTTTGAGACATGCAAAACGCAAGTTGAGTTTCGTCGATCGATCGGTTAGAACGAAAGGTATAGTCTGTGCCCCTCTCTTTTTTGACTAGGTGCACCTGCAACAATATTGCCATTCCATATTTTTTGTATTTCACAGGCCTCAATTTCGGATTCAAATTTAGACTTTCACACTTATTATTATTCGATACTACCTGTTACGTGGGTACTTGTTATGAGTATATTTTCATTTCAAGTGAATAAGAAGTTTGTGACTTAATTTGGAGTGGCATTAAATAACTTTTAATATTTAAGCTTACATTATGCTGCACATAATATACCTTAATTCAGTAAATTAGATGTTCAAAAATCTATGAAATCCAGAGATATTGCAAATACAATTATATCTAAATACAGTTACAGTTTTTAAAGTATGGCTTTCAAGCATTATGGAACAGAAATACTATAATTAAAATGGTTGATTATTAGACATTTCATTTCAGTTTGAAAATAAGAAAAATATTGTCTAGTACTTTATAATTTCTTAAAAAAATATTTTGACATTCTTTCAGATCTTTAATTTCTAAGCTATTAATTAAACTTTAAAGAAAATATGTGAGTGTATGCCCGTTTGAAAAATGCTACGCAGTGTCAGGTCTTAAATATTTAACCGGATTGATACTTCTCAGTTTTTGAATTTGGACATAATGGTCACTCTAGCCAGAACTTCAAATAAGATCAGCTGCAACATTTTAATTTATTATTTAAATGTTTATCATAAATTAAATTAAAATTATTTCTGTTTCATTTATCTTTTTACGTTTTATTTAGTTTCAATGATTAATTACTAATTATTTTATTTACTTATTTTTTGTTTATCTTTCATTACAATATTCCACAGCGCTTCAGCATTTTTAAGCCATTAAATCGTGCTCAATTTACATTATTTTCAGTTTTAAATTTAAAAATTATATTTTACTTTATATCTACAAATTATATTAACTCTACGTAGACTAATGCTTACTTGCTTTCTTGCATCGAGATTATACATTCTATATGATCACTTTCCATTCGGGCAGCTTCCAGTAATGCTTTATACTTTGCACATTCTATAGAGAGTTTCTGAATTTTTGACTGTCTTTTGTTGTCGTCTTGCTCTTTACTTTCTTTATTATCTTCTAAATTATTCACATCCGTCTTAGATCTTAAAAAAATCCACATGAATAAGCTGTGACTTTCATAATTACAATAAATTTTTATCTAGACTACTAGAACTTTCATATTCACATATTTATATTAAAAAATCAAAATGCTGTAACTGGCGATGTATTATGTACAGAATTCAAAAGAAATTCATTAATGGGTTCATGGATTTTCAGATCATAGCAATTAAATTCTGCTGTACAATTTTGTAATTGACCATTTTCTTTTACTTTACTTTGTTTAAATTTATTAACTGATTACTTTTTATTTACTTTTTGTCTTTTTAAGAAGTTAGATTTTATAACTTCCTTGATTTTTCTCCGTGTTATAGTCCTTCCCTAGAGAAAGACCCAGCGTGTCTTTCTCTGGGAACCTGAATGTTTCATTCTGAAGTAAAAAGGGTCCTTTGAGCACTGTAAACAATTAATATAAATTTTAAAAGAAACAAAAATTTCTGCAGTTGCTGACACATGTTATACAAAACTAGTATCAAGAATTCCCTTAGCCAGTCATCTCCTCAGTAGCAACAGCGTTTAATATTGTAAAACGATTTTGTTTGTAAGCGCACTAAAGCGCTAATTTTTTACAAGTGTGTATTTCTATATAAATCTGAGAAACTAACAATTAAAATGAAATAAATGAATAAAATTTTAGCGAGAATGTTGCAGTTTGAGGGCTTTAGGTTGCAGTCTAGTACCCCAAAAAAGAGTTTATTAAAAATTTCAAAACATTAAATAATAATAATAATAATAATTTGTTACTAAACGCAATATAACATTATAAATTATAATTATAAAATTAAATAGCTTTTAACTTTTATTAATTAAATACCTTATCAAAAGAGTCAATTAAATATTTTAATTATAAAAAGGGTGTTTAATACTTTTAAATCGTTTAGTTTTTATCATAATGCATTCACTTTCGAAACTCAGATAGCTTTCCTTGACAATCTAAGCGTCCGCAATAAATTGGATTTCAGCACTATTGTTTACCGCAAACCTTTTTCTTTTTATGTGAAATTTCGTCACTTTCTTTAACCATGTTATTTACATGACAGTTACAAAACAATTCATCAAGCGTTTCTCTAAAAATTCGAAAAATGTCAAAAATCTGAAATGCCCAGAAAGTTTTGGTTGTGTAATGTATGTCTGATCGCCTTCGAAATATTTAAAGTTTTGTTCAGTCAACGATTACACTTTTGTCTAATTTTAAATTTAGCGTCCTTCCCTTTCAATGAAAAGGTCCTTCCCTTTCATTGGGCTAAAAATCAGAAATTTGTCTACTCCCTGCATAAAGCATAAAAACTGGTGGGTGGTTGTTAAGGATTATTTTGTGCTTTAAATGTAAGAGAGACTAACGCATGGAACGTCAGTCGCCCAATTACAAAAAATCTCATAACTGTAAAAATGAGTAGGCAATTGTTCAATGAATTCATCCATGTCTTGTTGATTAATGTGTTTATTTAGCAGCGGATACGCCCTACCTTCTGTATTTTGCGCTGTTGTTTTGCCTTTCCCATTTTGTTTCGCTTTTTATACCTCATTTTTAACTTCATTTTCCTACGAGCTCATTTACTTCTCTCTGGTGATGTGTAGGTTCTTTTCTACTTTTATAGCTGTAACCATAAACCAGGAATATTTTTTATTGCTTGAACTGTGTGTGTAGCTACTAACTGGACAGATTTTCCTATTTCTGCATTAGAATGTTTTAAGTTCTACTAGATACTAAGCATCTAAGAACAGGATAAATTCTTATTTACCTAAATATTTAGAACTTCCTTCTCAGTCTTCCATATGAGACATGATCTGAAAAATGCCTAGTGATCTTCATTGCAGTTTACGCAGGCTGTAAGGGGATCACTAGGCTGCAATAGTGAAGATTTTGGCCCTCAAAATAACAAACACAGCATATATGAGTTTATTAAGAAATAAGACTCAAAGGTTTGAGACAAACAACAAAAAGTCATTGTCAATAAAAAGACAATGACTTTTTGTTGTTTGACTTCTAAATTAAGACTCAAATGTGTCCAAATCACCGGTATTTGAAAAAACGGATCGGATTAGACAAATAAGGCCTCACAAGGCAATTTAAATATCCATACTTCATTGATATTTGTAATTTTTATACGTTTCGTGTTTAGTAACTGAACTTCAATTTTATACGTCTCGTGTTTAGTAACAGAACGATAATTCTTTTAGCAATGCATAGGTGTTTGCAGGGCTTTTCAAGCTTCTCACGCATCCGTAACAGTTCTTTTCTGGTGACAGAGTAATTTTCTTCTGACTTTGAGAGGCTCATACTGAAATAGGAAATGACATGCTGCTAACTATCGGTTTCTTAAGAAAAAACAGCTCCAATCATTTCATTGATATTATCTGTATCGAAAATAAAATCGTATTCAGTTTGGAGATAAGCTTTTACCAGAAGCAGAAGTGAAAACTTCCTTCGTGGTTTTAAATGCTTTTTTAGTCATCAGTGAGTCTATGAAAACTTTTTTCCCTTCTGTTAGACGATGTAAAGACCTTGTGATCTTAGAAAAATTTTAAACATATCTTCCATATAGGGTTCAGACTCTGAGAGAGCTTTTTAACTGATGAACGTTTTCGAAGCGGCATCTGTCAGAAGCACCACTGATTTTTTAGAATCATTGCATACAGGAAATGACAGGAAAATTCATCATCGTAAAGAAAATTCGCGTGGAAATGCTGATGAACTTTCAAGAAGAACTTGCGAAAAAAAGAAGTGCTAACATTATTCGAAAGCTGAGGAGAAATCTGATTTAGAAATCTCAATGGCCGGACGAATCAAAACAGTCTCCATGGTATCAAAGATTAATGCCTGAAACAGGGAAGAAATGAAAAGGCCCAAGTGGAACATCGTGAATTGAGGTTACGTATGGAATTCTCGTAAGCAACTTACAGAAAACCCTGCTGGCAAGAAATGGAACAATAGTTTGACAACGAAGCAAAACTGGGCGTAACGATATTGGGATTCTCTTCAACTGCGAGATGGAATTCTCTGTCGCAAATGGTAAACTAATGACGGAAAGCATTTCAGAGAGCTAATCTTACCGTATTATCGAATCCCAAAGCAGATGTGGAAAAATGGCGCAAATCTTATGATGCGTTGAAGATTGAAAAAGCTCGTAATCATATACACGTGGAAGAATACAGCACTACAATGGATCATTCGAAAGGATTGATCTGGAGATTATCGGACCTTTACCTCGTACGACTAAGATAACAAGTATATCCTAGTTGTCATGGACTGCTTTAGTAAATGACAGGAAACTTATATAATCCTTCACCAAGAAACTTACACCACCTCAGAACTTTTAATAGAAAACTTAATTTGAGGACTTTTAAGGCCTCTTCTTATTTGTTCTGACGAGGGAATAAAATGCCCATCTGTCATATTTAATGAATTTTATAGAATTCTCGATGTGGAAAATACTCAAATCACTCCTTTACATATACAGTCGATTCCAAGGTGGAGAAATTAATCGGATAATATTAGACCATTTCTCTCATTTCGTACCCCGGACCAAACAGGATTGGAAACAAAAATTGCGTTTACTTCGGTTAGCGCATCGGAGTGAAGTCCATGAAAACATTGAATTTCCCTCATTGCAAATGATGTTTTTGCCGTGACGCTCGTTTGTTGAGTGACCTACTCTTTGGATGACCGCTGGACGCACCTTATTCACCTGAAAAGTACTTGGAATCTGCGGACGCATTTAGAAGATGCTCATTGTTTCGCCAGACAACAGATCAATATATCGACCGAGAAGAAAAAAACAAAATATATCAAGTCAACGAAGAGATTATTCAAAGAAGGAGGTCAAGTCTAATTGTGCAGTTCCCAAGCGTCGTCGAAGAATCTCGCTCAGGCTGAATATTTCCTGTGAGGTCCCATCCGTATTATTAAGGAACTGAGCTATATGGTGATGCATGTACAAAAACTTTCTGTTCTGAGCCTAAGTGAGTTGTACTACGATAGACTTGTATCTTATTATGATAGTGAGGGTTAGTTGTCTCTGGTCTTAGGATTGTACTGCCCGAGATACGCAGTACTTAAGGAGCGATGTTGGAAATTTGGGTAAATATCAGAGTCCTTTTGATTACACTTTTGTTTTTGAGAATTTTTTAATGTTATGAATTGCTTTATTTATTCATTTTATTGTTGTATTTTAGGTAATAAACTTTAATGATGATTTTTACGTAGTTAAATTTGAGGCTACTTAACTTTTATATAATTGCTCATTTCTTGTACAGAATTGTAAATCTTCTGAGTTTTGACTTCAACAACGTTTAAATTATAGAAATAGCTCAAGTAATATAAGTATATTATTAATATAATCACAGTTCAAGTTGTAAGGATCCTAAGTTTTACTAACGTTTATTTTATCTTAAAACTTTTCTATCTTTCTTATTTTCCACTTCCGACCAGAATTAAATGCGTTAACTTGCTTATTCAAATTGTACTTGCTAAGGCCCAAGTATTTAAGTTGCGGCTTTTTGCCAAGAGTTAGAGAGAGAGGGAGGGGGACGGGGGGGAGTGAGCCGCTTGCGACTTGCCACTGCATTCTTACGAGTTTTCAATCAATTGCTGCTTGCCTTTAAGGCCAGAGGTTTAGTCCTCAATATTTGAAAACGTATTGTAGTTTCAGCAGTTTGGCGTACTACCCTTTTAAAAAGGCCAGTCTTAGTGTTAGGCATTTTTAAACTAATTCAAAGTTAGCTTTTGTTAGAGTTTTATATTTTTACGTTTATATATTTTGTTTTATATTTAGTTTTATAAGGTAGTTTTATATTTTTACGTTCAGACCACAAGTGGTTGGTCTCTGTATCCCGAAGTACGGGAGCTCCTGTAAAGTAATCTTAGAGAATAAAGGGTTCAGTATATCCTTCCTGCTTGTGTTGTCTATTCCCCACAATCTGGAACGTAGCTCTCTGTTCTTATTTAGGATACGTAATGTTTCCGAAGCAAGTTAAAAGACATAAAAGTTCTGACAAAGCAATATAGTAGTATCACAGTAAGAAGCAAGTCTATATGCTGTATGTATATACTATTTTACTGCATTGTCATATTATTTACTTATTAGTTTTAGTTTTAGTTAGTCCCACTTAGTTTTGCACTCCTGTCTACATTTCATTGCATTTCAGTTACCACAAATTATGATTCTTCCTCCCACAACCTCCTAGGATAGGTCACCAGTTCTTCAGTGTTAACGCTAACGTGCCCTTGCCTCTAAACAGATTCAAAGTTTAAAATAAATTTCTATAATAATAGGAGTAAAAGAGGTTTTTACTGTCGCTTCCTTAATCGCATGATCCCGTTCCATCCAGAGAGTTGACATTGCTTTATTAGCTGTTATTCAGCTGCGAAATCTAGCCGAATTGTGAGTTTATTCTGCAAGTGAAGATTTTGGCAACTGCCGATATTTCTGGCGCCCTAAGGAGACATTACTTATACCTGTTTTTTGCTTAAGCTGTTTAAATTGTTGTTTCCTGTTAATTTTGTAATAAAATGTTAAATTTCTTTATGTTATTCATATGATCATTCAGTGGGATTTTTATAAAAGCGATAACCCACAGTAATACCTTAGGTGTGGACAGAACAGTCTTTTGTGACATTTAACAATTTACAGCCAATTTGACAAATTTCTGGAAGTTTTAAGAAAATGCATTTTGGAAACTCCTCTTCCCTGAGGTAGTTTCCTTGAAGCTTATAAAAGGTCGGAAAAACCGTACATAAATGTCTCTGATAGCCAATATGCCCCCCACCCAGCGGCCGAGCGGTGAAATCGCTGAACACTGGTAGTTCGGTCCGAGGTTCGAATTCCGCGAACGGGTGGCTGCATGGGCGTTTTCGTGGTTTTCCTCATGTGTGACGTGTATACGAGCCAATTTCCCTTAGAAAGTCCTCCACGAAGGCATCCCTTCCCTTAGGCAGATAGCCCTAGTGTGCTTTGCCGTATTCTCAATACACTGATTTCCAATATCAGTTCCACATCTGGAGGTCAAAGGTTTTTGTCCTTGCTTTTCCAAAAATGAATTTCAACATTTTTAGAATATTTTTATTTTTCGCTCAGTGTGAAGATTTCGTGCTTGACATCGAAAATTATCGCGATTGTCCAGAGACATATTTTTATGATTTACTGAATAAAACTTTTAAAGCAAAACAGAGATTCAAGAATCTATTTTGTCCTGATTGATTTGAGAAAGAATGCAGTTCAAAGAGTTAGTTGATTTATGTTTTAGAGATTGTGAGTGATATCGGCAATCTGTGATATTTCTTGGCTTTATGGAAAAATTATCTTATTTCTGCGTATTTCTTGAGTTGTTTACAATGGATATTTTTGCCCTACACTTTTATTAATTAAACTGTCAATGTGGTAGAAATGATCTCAAATAACTTCTAGCTTGCAACAATAGTAACTGATAAGTCTAGATATCTTTTAAGTGGATAGATTGCCGAAAATGATCCGTATAATGCACGAATGCATTGGCAATGGCGCTATCGATCGAGTAAACTGAACCCAAGAAAGCGTATTCAGGGCATTAGCATTCTATTCTGTATGAGATGTAGTTTTAAATGCGGTTTAGAGCCAATTTCGCTTTTAAACTTTGTTTTTAAATTTTCAGTTTTTAAACTTAGCGATTTTTTAAGGTTATAAAATGTTTACATACTATCACATAAAGCCTAGGTTCGAATTTATTGAAGCAGTAAAATCGCTGAACATTGATAGTTTTGACCTGTTTTCGATTCCAGGCAAACGGGCTGGCCGCGTGGGCGTTTTCGTGGTTTTCCCCGTATCTAATATATTATGTATAGGAGCCAGTTTCCCTGGAAATTCTCCACGAAGTTATCCCTCCCTTTAGACAGATAGCCATTCTGTGCTTTGCCATGCTTTGTCATATTCAAACAAACTAAGCTGAACCAATCTGCATTTAGTGAAAATTAACACGCTTCCTAGAGGTTAAATAATGCACGACAAAAGTAAATACTAGTCAATTTTCAGTTTGGAAGCTTTTAAGTATTTTTTGCCTGCATATACCACAAAACTGAAAGCATCATAGTTTACATCTGAACCTCTATTACATGTATAAAACTATTTTCTTTTGCCCTTAATTGAATAAAGTTTCAGCATTTTAGTAAATGATATAAATATTCTAGTATATAACACGAATTTATATTCAAATTATCTTAAAAAGGTATTTACTGTACAGTCTTTGAATCCACAGATTTTGCGTTTGCTTCGGGCACATTTTCAGATTCTGTTTTTCCTTCTGCCTCTGAAGCGAAGTCCGTCTTTTCATCTTCGCAACCTACATAAGTCTGTAAAATCAAACTTACTTGTAGATATTAAGGAAACTGTAACTCGCTGTTCATTTGAAAATTAAAAAAAAAAAAAAAAAAAAAATTAAGTGCGGCAATATAGTGATAAAATTCATAACAAATGAGTTGCCCTTTTTTTTCTGATACAAGACAAATTCTATCAGATATACAGATTCAAATATAATCTGTTATATTTCTTTCAAATGAATTTATCCTGGCATTATCCTTCGTTTTTCTTAAACCAAAGAACTAGTATTTATTTCTTTTCATATACCTTATGAGAAACTTTTATTTTAAAACAGAACAGTTCGTCAATTTCTGACACAAAGTGTTTTGCCTCAGTTAGTTTTTTAATTGATATTTTGTCTGATTTTTCTTGTTTGGGATAAATATATTGGTAAGCACTAGTTTAAAACATTAATAAAAATTTGTCATTCCCTAATAGGGTATTTCTCCCGCCTTCTCAGCATGCCTTCATGGTGTAGTGGTCAGCACACTCGGCAATTATTCGAGAGGTCCGAGGTTCAAGTCCCGGCAAGGGCATTGCTCATTTTTCACATCTCTTCTGTTTTGAAATAACCTAATGTCTCTACCGCGGTGCCCGAACTAAAAAAGGTGTTAGATGATGATTCTCCACCACCAGGATTTGGCGATTGGGTTCCCTAATCCCCAGTCGCTCTTTAAAGAAGGGAGTATATAAGGTATTTCTCCAGCCTTCTTAGCATACCTTCGTGGTGTAGTGGTCAGCACACTCGGTGCGTATTCGAGAAGTCCGTGGTCGAGTCCCGGCGAGGGCATTGCTCATTTTTTCATCTCTCCTGCTTTAAAAAAATACCTAATGTCTCTACATGCTATTCTTTATGTTATTTATTCTTTATATTTATTCTGCATAGTGTTCTACTTTTCAGTGTGAAAAATGTATTTTAAATATTCACAAAACGCTTAAATTTTTGTCTGCTTTTAAGCAGCATTTAGTTTTGCTTTACATACTTGATAGTAGTTTTGTTCTACTATCTTGTTACACGGCTATAAATATAGAGCTATTCTTATACTGGCGGAAAAAATAAATAATAAATAGAGTATTTTTTAATAGTGTGATTTACAGTTAACTTTTATGAATGAATAGATCAGTATAATTCGATGTTCCTCTTCTGTTTCACTTCACTCATAGTTTATTATCTCGTACATGAGATACTTCGATATTTCTTCTAGAGAAATGTGTATACGCATTGTTTAGTTAAAGTTGTGAAATAACTTTTGAAAGAAGAAAGCTACGTCTATAGAAGTTGGTATATAATTGTAAAGGATTCAAGGTATTCTTCTCATATATCTTTGTGGTTCATCTCAGCTAACAACTGTGAAGTCTCGGGTTCGAATTTCCACCGAAGGCATGCTTTTTCAAGATGCTTGCTGCTAAAAATGTAATGATTGCAACTAACATGGGCAACTACATACAATAAATATTAAAGTTTCGAGAAATTTGTCTAGTTCAATCATTTTTGCATTCTTTCTTCCTTAACGTATAAAGCGATTACAAATTGAATATCGAATTTCTTTTCTTAAACACTGTGATGTGAATTCAACTGAGGGATTAGTAAACAGAGTTATTTTAATTTGTTTGAGAAATACCTCCCTTAACAAATAGTTTACTGTTAGTACTATACGAAACACACGCCCAATTAAAATATAAATAAAATTTATTAAGCCACTCCTTGTGGTTTACAAATAAAATAACAGTACAAACTAAAAAAATGACTTGTATAAAATTACTAGCTAAAGTACCCAGCGTTGCTCTTTTATGTAGAGTGAAGAGGCTTTATTTAGAGGAATGACAGTAGTTCATTTCGAAATCTCAGGTAGGTAATTATTTCTTCTTCTTTAGCTTCAATGTGAGTTATGTAAAAATTTTCCCAGCTTGAATAAAACTGTAGAACTAACACGGTGCCATATAGCGGTTTTAGTGAGAACTGGTACTTGCTTATCGGTTATGTCTTTTTTTAGAAATGAGCTTTCAAAAAATCATCACCCACTTTGCACGATTTCTTTACCAGCTTTCGAAATATTCTCGAAAAATGATAGAAAGCAGACTTAAATCAGGCTTTAAAAATGCTAAACTGTTCTGGAAAGTTCTAGAATGTCCAAAGAATAAACGGGCATGGGGCAATATACCGATTTTGGTAGGAACTGATAGTGGGACTGCAACAGTGGGCGTGTTAACTTGAAATAGTAGTGTGATTTCAAAATTCAAACTGTGTAAAAAATACTAATATTTATTTTTTGTAAAAAAAAAAAAAAAAAAAAAAAAAAAAATTGAAATTCCTTGCTTAGTATGTAAACAAAATATATGTAAGTCTCTAATAAATCAGACTGGATCGAACTTAAAATAATAAACAGAGAGCTTTATTTCATACAACGTTTATTGACGAACACCAAAGACGAACTGATACATACACATAATTATGACATCACAGTTTCTTTTTACAAATAAATACGACCACCATCTATTGCCGATCTGAGGATACATAATCACAAACTTATATTTAACAGTATATATGCTTAGTTATGCTGACAGTGTGAACGCAACTTCGGTGAAGTGAACTTAAGATGGGTGACGTGAGCTCAATGCTCTAACATAAAGGCTGCGAATGTGGGCTCCGTGTAGTGGTTTTCCGAAATCTTACGTAAACAGTAACCTTCCTGTTCTTTTGAAGGTCAAGTATGCAAAATTTTATCAATAACGGAATAAAACTGTAGATTTATATGAATTACACAAACAAATGAACGGGCACTTTTCTTTATAGGTGATTTTAATGAATGCAGCTAGTAATTAATAATGATTGAAATGAATTTACATTTATTATTTTTAAATCGTTTAGTTTGTTAATTAATTGCAATAAATTTGAAAGAAATATTAAACACCTTAAGCTGAACGATAAAACTCTGCCACTTTGAAGATAAAAATATTTTAATTCGGGCAGTGGCAGCGCGTTTCTTTGAATCGCTGAGCTTGTTTATCAAATGCAAAAGACAAATATATTGGGAGTGACAAAAGATTTCTTTTATATCACTGAGTTTTATGATTAAATCTGAAATGTAAATATCTTGTGTGAATCCACACTTTGCAGAGTGGCAATTCAAAGCTTTACTAATGACCGATGCCACTTTCTAAATCTTCGGAAGTGCGAAAATCTCTAATTGTTTTTAATTTTTGCAAGTCCGAAATGCATTCACTGCAAAACCCTTTTCAAGGTACTCGGTGGATTCCCCGTGGGGCCCTATGGTGCACTACGATCTGAATTTAAATTGTAAGTGCTTTTGGACTGTACTCGCATTACCTATGATTAAACATTACATGTCCACTGTAATTTAATCTGATGTGACCTGTGCAAACTGCGTTGTATTGTAAATGTTTTAGATTATAAAAGTGAGGTTGCTTGCTGTGTAGCTAAATTTCAAAATTTTACAAAGCAAGGTACTAATCCAAAGTTAAATAACTAGTCAGTATACAATAAAACCCTTTAGATATTTACAAACAGTACAGCTACTGATGATTTCTATGCCTTCAATACATGCACTCAGCTAAACAGCAACGATGCAGCTAATGTTCGAATAGGCCAAGAGTTGAAGTTAAAACTCCTACATTTAAACTATACTGTATACTTCGAAATTTGAAAAACTTCCTGAGCAAAAATCATTACATGAGCCACGAAAGATAGGATACAGTTTAATTCAAAAATCGAATAGTTAGCAAAATTTAAGAATAATTATAATGTTATTATACAATAAAACACTGTTTTGGCAAAACTAAACAGGACCCTATATAGTAATAAAAAGTACAACATTGCAGTAACTATCCTAAACGCTTTGTCTTACAGAAGTATGACACAGTTAGGCCAAACTTAAGTTATATCTTATTAATCGTCAGTTTGTGCTATATATGTAAGTATATTTAAGAGGTCAAATGAAAAGTGATTATAAAGTATCTGGCAAAAAATGCAAAGCCCGGTAGATGGGATCGAAATAAGCAGATTTTGTTGGAGAGTCATTAGGTTTTTTTGATGCGAGAGACGTGAAAATTGAGTAATGCCATCACCGGGACTCGAACCTGGACCTCTAGAATATGCGCCGAGTGTGCTAATACTTTATATTGTAATGAAATATGCGTGCCGAAATGGCTCATCAAGGTTGTTGAGAGCTCTGTTGCGATCAATAAGTGTCTGCTGGCCCAAATCGTCATTGCCCGCTCAGTTTCAAAGAGGTACGCCTCCTCTTTGAAAGATGCAGAACTTGATGGATCTACACTTTATGGGGTCTTGAACGGGAAAGGAGCAGCTTTTTAGATAAGGTACAGAGAACGAATGCATCTGGAGTAAATTTGCTGCTTAATCGCCAAATGTTTGAGTATGTTAATCAAGAATTGGGCGAGAGTGCACCATTCGGCGCTTTGACGATGTTGGCAAAAGAACACGTCTCAGTTATGAAGAAGTTGTAATACGTGCATTTAAGAATAATCTGGCTACGAGCACGAGGTGGTGCGCTGCTCCTCTGGAAGGGTAATAGTGGAGGTTGAACCTCCACGAAGTGCCCAAAGGGAGAGTAGACCCGTAATGTGATTTAGTTCACGAGGCGGGGCAGCCAAGAACTTACGAGCACGAGAGCTATTTGGCATGCGTTGGCTATGAACCAGCTGTCCGTTAGGAGGGATTTAAATGTGGAAGAAACGTACCCATACTTATTTACAGAAATGAGTGAGAAGGCTTTGAACGGGTGATTATCCTCTGCATAATTAACTTTTCTCAGTGGTAATTACAGCAGGCTGCAGCAAAGCCGGATTTCCATTCGTACATTTTATTCATTGACGAGGCTACTTTTGCATACCCAGGGAGGTTTGATACCCATAATTTTTACCTAGGCACATGATAATCCTCATGGAATGAAATCACATGCCTCTACTAAGAAAGATTTTCCTTAATATTGGGCTTTCATGGCACTAAACGTGCATTTAAGAATACGTCCATTAGTAAGTACCGTATCTTAGTAGTAAGTACCGTACCTTCTCCCTAGTTCACTGCCTCTTTATACAAAGTGTCTTTGAGGAACTTTTTCCCGATGTTCCCTCCACCTGCTCATATATGAATGTGGTTGCAACACGGTGGAGTACTAGTTCACTTCAGCTGTAATGTCAAAAATTAGCTCGATGTTTGATTCATACCGACTAATATCACCAGATTTAGCATACATACTGCATGATCTATAAAAATCCCATTGAATCCGACGAAGATCGTGAGTAACTCGTGGAAATGTATGTGAAATGACCGAGATCTTTGCTAATGTGTGACAAATATGTACCGCCACTCTGTTGGTGACTGAATTTTCGAACACCACCAACTGAACAAATTTAAAATGGTTTTCTCTTTCAACTTGTAATTTCTTATGTGCGAGCATTTATATGCGACATTTCCGCATGTACATTCCATTAAAAATGTACTTATTTCAATTCTCTCTACCTACTTTCTTTACACTCCCGCTAGATATTTTAGAATCACCCCGTACAGAAGCAAGCAAATATAAACAAATTCCATTGTCCCTCCTTCAAAACAATAAGTAAATAAAGAAATGAAATAATAATAATAAAAAGAATCACGAAAAATACCTACCTTTAATCCTTCTGTAGTGTCATTTTGCAGCTCCAGAATCATGCGATTCCTTTCAAATACCATAAACTGAAGTTTATCGAGTATTTTGATGTCTTCTTCATGATTTCGTTTCAGCTTTCTGAGTTCATCGTTATAACGATCAGCATTTCGCTGGATAATATTCTTTTCAGCTTCAATACTTTCTTGGATATGCTTATGTTTTCTCTGAAGGAGAAATTATCACATAAAAATTTTTAATAATTTTTACTGAATTTTATGAACTGATAAACTGTTAATTTGATATAAGTAATATTGCAAAAAATCCAATTAATTAATAGTGATAATGAAACAAACAATGAAAGTAAAATTACATTTAAAGAAATGTAAAAAATCTGATGTGAATTCCACATGACGTCCTTGTAGAGGCTATTAAATTATACACATTTTTTTTTTTTTTTTTGCTGCACTTATTTCTTCAAATTATTCTAACTTAATCAACCGATCTCTGAAACCAAGTTGAAAATGACATCAAAAATCGCAAATTTTGAAATTAAATATCCCGGTGAATTGTTGCGTACGGGAGTTAAACTTCTTGTATTTTTATATTTTCATAACGAGTATAAAATTTTCTCAGGTATAAGTATAGGAGCTGGAAAACGGCGTTAGAAGTTAGATTTCGTTATTTGTCAACAATAAAATTTTTAAAAATTTTTATTACCAGAACATGAATATGTTCGTCATTTAAAGCATTTCTGTAATTAACAGTAAAATTAATTTAGAATGAATGCAAAGTAAATGTTAGGCTCTCCAGCCATTACTAATTTTCATTAGAGTTAGCATCTCAGACCGAGAATTGATTGTAGGGTGTTTCTCTCAGGTCTAGGTTATCTAGTTTCTAATAAGTAGATGTGGGTAGTTGGAAATGCTGTACGCCTTCTACCTGAAGCACGGTCGTACATGCTGGAGAGCAAGGGGAAGTCTTAAATTGGGTAGAAAGAATGAAATGAGTAAATGTATCCCCATGTAAGAGCAAATTTAACTGTTTAAAATGTGTCTCAATGTGACTTGGTTGTGAAACAAATTCTAAACTATTTTCCTTCCAGATACCTAGAAGGAGTCGAGCCAAGAAAAATACTAAGAAGAATTGTAATTTTTGTGCTATGTTGCTCGTCTGTAAAAGTGTAAATTAAGAAAGTTAATACTGAAATTGTACTGATATTGTAAAGGTTGACTCACAGTTCTCACAGATGACATTTAGAATTTAAATATCTTATACAGGCTTTTAAAGTCTTGTTATGTGGTTGCTAAATTCAAGATATAGGATTTCCTTTAGTTCAACTAACGTATTATTCAAATTTTTGTTATCTTTCCTGAGCTCCTCAACGTCCCCTCGCATTTCCTCTCCAGGATGTAAATTTAAAAATTTAAGTTAAGTAAATTAATTAAATTTTTTAAGTGAAGTGAGTATGTAAACTTAGTATGTTACGGACATATCGCATTTTTAAGTTTTGCCATTTTGTTTAGATTATTTGCATAAATCATTTATTTCTTCTTCCTGCCGTAAGCCAATTATACAAGCCATTGCGGTTTTGCATCACCCCACAAACAGTTTCATTTTAGAAGCGATTAAAAACGTTTTAAATCGATATCTTCATGTTTTAGGACCGAATTCAGGCTTCAAAAATCACAAATTAGCGATCTGTAAAGCCGTTATCACATTAGCTGTTTGTTGCCGGGACAAAACGTTTGTAGCAACAGTTCTGAGAAACGGCCTTTGGCGGAATAGGGTTACCATCTTCACTTGGCAAACAGGCTAAAAGCCAAACAAGAATCAGTTATCGCTCAGATTGGCGAAAGTGACGTTTCCTTTCAAATGACATTCGCTTCTTCGTGTTGTTTTGTATCGCTCACACGCTTTTCGTTTTAAACTTTATTGTTAGTAATGCAAGATAATAGAAAGGTGATTGCTATCAAGTTAATCACTTTGATCTCCACTCTGGCACTTCATGTAACAGATAAACACACTTCTGGTTATAACAATCAATTACATCAGTAATAGCCAAATTCTGTATACACCTAAGAATAGTTTAAAAACATGTGCTGGATAAGTCTATTTATCATACATCGCTTACGTGTATTTTTCTATTGTCTGCATTTCAATGAAATTTGATGGCTCACTGGAAAATTTGTGACCTGGTGAAAGCATTTCTGACTAACTTTATGGCTCATAATTACTGTTCTGTCCATTCAAATGACACAAATCTATATGGCTGATATTTACCTCCTCACAGCCAGCAGATACTATTCAGCAAAATGATATCAAATAAAGCATATGATACATGAGCAATCAAATGTGCGAGTTGTTTACTGTCCCATAAACACTCGGTAATATACCTAAAACACATTAATTATACCAACTCTAGAATTAGGTATTCACATCATGAGTTTGTTTTATGGTTTGGTTTATTGAGATTACAGCAAAGCACACTAGGGCTATCTGCCTAGGAAAGGGATGCTTTCGAGGAGGACTTTCTAAGGGAAACTGGCTCGTAACACGTTACACATGGGGAAAACCACGAAAGCGTCATGCAGCCTGCCCGTTCGCGGATCGAACTCGGACCGAACACCAGTGTTCAGCGACTTTACCACCCTCGGCGCTGGTGGGCTCAGTTTGGTTTTATGTGATTACCGCAAAGCCTCCAGGGATAACAACAGGAGGATCCCTTTGTAGAAGATTTTTAAAACTGGCTCGTATACCATTTACAAATGGGCAAAACAAGGAAACCATGTAGCAGCCCTTCGCGGCATTTAACCTGAGACGAACTACCAGTGTTTCAACGACGCTTCGGCCACTAGTAGGCCCGTGCACTTAATTGGAAAGTGCAATTCATTATGTAAACAGACATGAAGGTGATAATTAGTTGCCTGTTTTAAGTAATCAAATGTTATAAATGCACAGCTGTTCATTTCTTATTATTTATTAGTCATTTTTTATTACGTAGATCACACGTATGATATAATATGAATTAACCCAATAACAAAATGTGTACACTCTTTAGTACTCAAATACTCATCAAATTATTTTTCAACTGATTATTACATACCCATAATAATTTGCAAAGAATCTATAGTTGCTGCCATCTAATCGAATTAAAAGTAATTTCAAATAAACTCCTTGGCAATGTTCATTTTTGTATTTATACATACATATATATATATATATATACACACATCTAATAATTCATATATATACATACAGATAGAGAGATGCGATGGTTTAGAAGTTGTTAATATATATTTATTAGTATTATATAATTGTTATTTAGATAATGAATAATAAGATTTATATTAATGAATGTATATACAAATGTTTTTTCATAATGCATAATAATAAATCCATAAATTTCAATGTTTCAATATGTAGCATTTAAATAAAAGTATAGTTTCTAATGTATTTATAATTCAAAAAGTATTTCATTAAATAACATGAAAAATAATAGACAAATTAAAGAGTATTCTCATTATACATAAGCTATGCTTTCTTTTTATGCATCTTTTATGCTGTTTAAATGTGTCCTGATTATGCAGTTAACAATTTAAAAGATAAGTAATTAGGAGAAAGCCGCGCATATACAAACGGATTAAAAAAATTATTCAAATTTAAGAAAATAAAATTCTATTATATAACAGTGTTATAATACACGATCAGCACGAAGTACGACAAATTTGGCGAACTTTTGGCTACGACAATTTGTAAAAAATCCGAAAGCAAGAACGTCGTAAAATACTATCAACTCTGAAATTTCCACGATTATATATTAATGAATATATACACATTTAAAAAATGACTCAGGCAGTTGTATTACAACAAAACAGCAATAATTAAATCGGCCTCTATTTCCACCGTCCATCACTTCACAGTGAGAACCATCACCATATTGAAGTTACCAGTGATCCTTCAGAAGCTGACCTTTCGTCTGATTGGTTGAACGTTCGAGGAACACGTCTCCAGCCGGAACATTTTGGGAAAAGTTTTAAAATGTTGCTCCTAGCCGGGACACGTTCCTCCTAGCTAGACGAAACATTTCTCGGAAGCCTGCCGCTTAAGCTGTACTACTAGAATCTCGTTTCTCGGAATTGTCCCGGGTAAAGCGCGCGCGTCTATAGATGTGATAACAGCATAAGAAAACGATTTCCGGAACGCGCACATTTTTGCAAGTGAGGTGGTGAGATTTTGAACTTTTTCTTCCCCACGGGAAATAAATTCCCATTCCTTTACACGATTACCAAGTTTGATAACATTTGGTCCAGTAATTTTCATTTTATGACCATTTTAAAGTGGAACTTTAATCATTAGTTTAAATGATATATAGTCCAATACACACTATTTCAAATTTTACTGATAAATATATATATACAGTGGTGGCCAAAATTGTGGGCACTTTTAGAAATTTTTATGTTTTTGAAATTTGTATGCTTATGGAAAATGTTACGTTTCGCAAAATGCAAACTCGTATATATCATTTTAAAGAGAATTTATTACTGAATTCAATACAAAACACAAAATTCAATTATTTGAAATTCAAAAAAAAAAAAAAAAAAAAAACGTTATATGTACTTTAATATAAAAAATCTGATGTGTACACCACATGACTTTATTGTACGGAATATTAAATTATACGCCTTTTTTCTTGCATTCCATTTAAACTTATTGGATTGAATCTACTTCGCCGACAGCGCATAAACCACAATAGAATAAATGCATTCTTTAAAATTCGCCAGCGACACTCTGGCGCTAAATTCACTTAACAGTATTATATTTCGTTCATATTATAACTCATAATGCACAAAATTTATATCATTTAAAGAATAGAGTTATCTAATCGTTGCCACATGTTCTATTCAAATACTATAAATAAATAATAAAGCTAGAATGATGTATAAAAGAAATTAAGCAAATAAAACAAAAAAGAAACAGTTTTTCACAGACTATTGAGTATTTCTCATTCAGTTAATTAATTTCTCACTTCGCGAGAAGGCAAAAATACATAAAAACTCAAAATATCTATATTAAAAATTACGAAGTAAATCTTAAACACTTATTTCCTCGAAAAAATTCCAGAAAGGATTAAGCATGATTTAATTGGCAATAATAAATGAAGGCGTTATCTTTGTTGTTGCGAAGCTAAGTTTCTCTAGATTGAAGACAAATCCACTAGTCTGCT